CTGAGGTGGGAGAGTCTGTCCATAGGACAACAATCAGTCGTACACTGCACAAATCTGGCCTTTATGGAAAAGTGGCAAGAAGAAAGCCATTTCTCAAAGATATCCATAAAAAGTGTCATTTAAAGTTTGCCACAATCCACCTGGGAGACACACCAAACATGTGGAAGAAGGTGCTCTGGTCAGATGAAACCAAAATCCAACTATTTGGCCACAATGCAAAACGATATGTTTGGCATAAAAGCAACACAGCTCATCACCCTGAACACACCGTCCCCACTGTCAAACATGGTGGTGGCAGTATCATGGTTTGGGCCTGCTTTTCATCAGTGGGGACAGAGAAGATGGTCAGAATTGATGGGAAGATGAATGGGGCCAAATACAGGACCATTCATCTCTCAATGTGCAAAACTGATAGAGACATTCCCCAAGAGACTTGCAACTGTAATTGCAGCAAAAGGCTGCGCTACAAAATATTAACGCAAGCGAGCCGAATAATATTGCACGCCCCACTTTTCAGTTTTTTATTTGTTAAAAAAGTTTGACACATCCAATAAACTTCATTCCACTTCACGATTGTGTCCCACTTGTTGTTGATTCTTCATAAAAAATTAAAATTTTACATCTTTATGTTTGAAGCCTGAAATGTGGCAAAGGTTGAAAAGTTCAAGGGGCCGAATACTTTCGCAAGGCACTGTATATATATATATGGTGTTGGCCATCTAGGATTTTGGCCAGGCAACCCAATTTTTAATAGGGTTGTTTCGTATGCCTAGATGTAGCCACACACCAAAATGGAAGTTGGTACCTCAGTTATTTTCCAAGTTATTATGCTCACAACACAGATGGACATTTATGGCATTTAAAGCGGATCTAAAAAACAAACTGAAACAAATGATAATATCTTGAGCAGTATCAGTGTAGATACTAGAATAGGTTCAATGTCAAACTTGAGCAATTAAGTGAGTCCTACCTTCCCTTTGTGGTCTAACTTATAAAAAGCAAACATTCTCGGTGAGAAAGGAATAGTTTAGAGGGTGCAAAACAATTTGAGCAATTCATAAAATAAGTGTGAATTAATGTTTTAGTTAGGTTCATGGTCATTTTGAATAATTTCTTATGAGGGAACCCAACAAAAAATTGTTTGAGTAACATTAAACACCAAGCCATGTATTAGTGTGGCAGACTGGGAGTCTAAAGGAAGCTAACCATGGTGTACTATGGCATTTTAAGGGAGGAGAGAAGAAAGAGCACAGAGAAGACTAATATCATCCCCTAGAGGCGAAAAGCTACATTACAAAGACCATCCTTTCAGGAAAAGAAAACAAAAAGGCATACAAGAAGTTTTCAACTCAATTATGAAATAAAAAAGAGCAAACTCAGAGGCAGGGTGATGGCACTGAGCTCTCACGTCCATGTTGGGCTAAGTGTAAAGCCCAGTGCCATGAACCTAAATCTACAGTTGTGTACTTTCATCAAGCGCCTCCAGACGCCCCTCCTTACACACTGGCAGGACTGAGGTGGAGCCCACCCACTAGTGCGATGGTCCTTTATGGGAATAATGTCAGTATATTTACAAAGTGATGATGTAATTTGACTTACATTTTCACAAGTTATTTAGACATGTTTCGGTTATGTACTGGTGATGGTGTAGCTTTCTGTCTGTACAAGCAAATTAAAGTTCTTCTCTGGATGTTTATTTGTGGCTACATTAATGGTGAACATGGATCAAATGTGCCAGTGTGCTGGAAGCGTTGATGAAAAGCTCCTCTGAAGTGAGGTGCCATGCGGTCAGCACAGCGGTCGTGCAGAAAAAAGTCTAACCTCTGTGTCCCCGCCCTGGAAACCCAGCCGCAACCCAAAAGAAGAGCACAATGGACAGCCAAAGAGAGAATTTCATTAACAGAACTGCTATTTGTGTAAAAACTGGGAACTTAGTTAAAAACTGCTAAAACAACAACAACAACAACAGCAGAGTACGTCATGTTTAACAAAGTCTTGCAAGAAAATTGCTAAAAAAAAAAAAAGTAACATTTCTGTAAAACAAGATATAATCAGAATGCCCTGGGTACAAAACTGCACTCACTAACAATAAAAGTTAAGCCCCGAGATGAGCTGATCCTAATGAAATTAAATTGAACTCGCTGGAAGGTCTTGTGAGATTCCAATATCAAATCAAACTGATAACAGTTAGTTAACCCTAACCACTCTCAAGTTCAGAAAGATCAACACTGGGTCAGTTTACTCCAGATCTGATCCCACATGGACCTGATTGGGCCAAGATGAAGGACCTCAACATGATCGGACAGTCCATGGACGTACACTGGTCATGTTTGGACGGGTGTTGACTTGTTGAAAGACTGTACCAGGGTGGTCTCTCAGGAGGAAAATGTGGTATGCAGATGTCCCGTCACTAAGGAATTTAAATAATGAATGTTTGTAGGTGGGCAGCATGGTGGCACAACTGGTAGAGCTGCTGCCTCTCAGTGAGAAGGTTGCCGGTTAAAATCCCAGTCCGGGGTCCTTTCGGGGTAGAGTTTGCATGTTCTCTCCATGCATGCGAAGGTTTTCTCCTCTTTGCGCTGCAACTGGGGACAATAAAACTTGCAGATCCAGGATGTAACTGACATGAAACTGTGTCATTAGTATCTACTGAATCATTCCCAGAGGTGACCTGAGGTCACACCTTCTGGCTCCTCACACCATGATGTCAGGAGAAATGCCAATGTGTGTCTCTTCAAAGCATTGTCAGGATTGGTCCTCTTCCTTCTGTGTCACCAGTTGTGCATGTGATTATCATCCGTAGTAATGCTGAACTGAGATTCATTGATGAACATGATATGACTCCACTCATCATCAGTCTATGGCTCCAGTTTAGAGCTGGTGTTAATGGCAGCCTAACCATGAGAACCAAGTGACCCAAGGAGTCTGGTCATGGGAGGGGTTGATGCAATGAGGTTCTGTAAAGCTTGGCACACAAAATGACAATCCTCAATTCTTGCTTGGTGTGGTTTGTCTTGGGCAGCCTCCTCGAGTTTTATGAGCCTTTTATGATATTGAGTCTCTTAACTTTCACCTTCATCTGTTGGTTTGGACATTTGACAAATACAGGAACAAACTCTTGGGGATTGTCAGGTTGTGCAGCAAAACTGCTGGCATAGCCTTACAGAACCTCACTGACCTACACCATGTGAGGTCAGTGAGGTGTAGGTCAGTAAACAAGACCAGGCTGATTCTGGCAGATCCTGATCACCCACTCCATGGTGAGTTCAGGTTGCTTCCTTCTGGACGCAGGTATCTGCTGCCCAGATGTAGGACGAACAGACTGAAAAACTCATTTATCTCTGTAGCGATCAGGCTTCTGAATGAACAATGATTTCTGTACTGTCATATGATGATTTCTGTACAGTAGTGGTATTTTAATGTCTCAATGTCTTGTCTAGTATGGATGTTTTGTGTGCCTACTGACTGTGAAACAAATTGCCCCTTGGGGATAATAAAGATTCTTGAACTTGATGTGTGTGGGTGTCTTCACATACACACTGGCTCCAATATGAGACCCCCGTGACGTCTGAACAACACCGCATGTTGGCTAGTTGAGCCACAATTCCCCTTGACCTCACGAAAACCCATAATGTCAAACTGTTCACTGCTGTCTAATGCAACTATGAACTATTCTTTGTGTCTAGTGAAACTATGAACTATTCTTTGTGTCTAGTGACCTTCATTTAATGTTTGACACTCTGGAAACTGCCTGATAACACTGGCACTCCACTTGTGCCGTCTAGTGCCCGCTCTATAGATGTGCCAGTTCCTTGCAAATCATATGCTTAAACCTGGCAAACCCTTAAATTACCTTTAAATCAGATCATTTCTTTTGGACACTTAACTCTTTTTGTCAGTGAGTGTATTTATTTTTATCAAAATAACTTCAAATTTTAATTTTTATGTACTTTGAAGCAACTGCTATAGCTCATTCATTAACTAAAAATGATCAGTAATAAAAAAAAATTAAAACAAAGGATGTACACAAAGAAAGAAGGCAGTTGTTAAAAAGGTGTTTGTAGTTCTGTCCTAAAGCAGTCTGAAATCAGATCTGACATCATCCTACACCAACAGGACTGCACTGTCTCACCTTGCTCATTTTGCTCTTGCTGTCAGCTGTGAGGAAAGACATGTTGTTGATCTCATTCATCACCACAAAGTTCTGCTCTTCTCGCTTGAAGTTCTGAAAAGGGAAGGAAACCCAAAAGATGCATGAGGAAAAAGATAGCTTCATCTGATGGTTGTCTTCCAAATGAATACACTCACGTGAGATTTGGACCAAAAAATAAAGACTTCTCCGACCATTCGGAAAAGTTCTTCTGCGTCTGGATCGGGGCACGTCAGCCACCTCGCTCTGCAGCAAAAAAAGGGTTCAGCGTCTTGGTTTCAAACATTTAACAGTGTTCTTGCACAGCTACCTGTTGTTGTCCACGTAGCGGATAAGCAAAGGATAGAGGGCATACAGGTCTCTGCAGAGGACAGCAAACTCATCACGTATGGTGCCATCTTCTTCATCTCCCTCCGACTTCCCCTCCATCCGTAAATGGTCCTCCTCAGCCACCACCTTTGATGTGCGTTTCTTCAGCTTCTCCATTGTTGGAATGAAGTGGGATTTCAGCATTTCTGGCTTTGCTCTGCTGACAATAGGCTGTGAAAATACTGTGAAAGAAAAACAAATTGAGCTATTTCACCTCAATTTAGAAATCAAGACAAGGAACAAGGCGACACATTATTGTGTGAATGTTTCTGAATCATTCTCTGTATTAAAATCTATTTTTCTTCCTTGTGTTTTTCAGCACGTAACTCGTTCCTCAGTTTTTGCTCTGTTTTGACAATTCATGTCTTAAAACGTTCAGCTCATTCAGGATAGGATATTCCTGATGGGACTTTTAGTATTTGTGCAATATTTACATTTTGAAGTGTTTAGCTTAGTCGGCCATGTTGTGCTTATAGAAAATGAATGGAGTTCTCCACATCCTTCGAACACTTTGAGCTGTTTACAACATTTTACTGCTCATTTCAGTTTTTGTTCTAGTTCAGCTGTTCTCAGATTATTTCTGCTCCTTTCAGTGTTTTCCAGCTATTTTTCTGCTTCTTTAATCTTTTTTCTGCTAATGTTAGCTTTTTATTCTATTTTTTAACTATTTTTCAGCACCATTCAGTTTCTTTCTGCTAATTTCAGCTTTTTTATTTTAGTTTTTTTTTCTGCTCACTTGTCTTTTGCTAAACTCCAACTTCTGTGTTTCTTTATAATAATTTCAACTTTTTGTGCTCCTTTCAGCATCTTCTGCTAATTTCTTTTTTTCAGCTACTTTTTCAATTGCTCAAGTTACTTTTTTGTTACTTTCAGATTTTTTTGTTGTTGTAATCTATTCAACCTCTCTGTGCTCTATTCAGCTTTTTCTACTCTTTTCTGCTGCTTTCAGCTTTGAATTTTCTGCTTTCAGCAAATCAAATTCAACTCTCATTAACAGTTCAGAGATGAAATTTTTTCAGCTGGTTTCAGCTTCTTCAGCTGCTTTCACATTCACACTGCATTTTCACAGGAAATGACATTTCTTTAGTTCAAGTTTAAACTGCATTCACCTGCCAACCTCTTCATCCAGGACGCCTCATCGATCCCCAAGTTGTTGACTACAATTTTCATAATGCTGCCCAGGAGCTGATTGAGATGCTCTGATGTCACCTCGGTGCAAAGTTGACCCTCCATCTCGGGGAAGTTTTCGGGTCCTCTCTCCCACCAACGTGGCAGGTAGTTACACAGCATGGGAAGAGTGATTTCAATGACGTGAGGCATCTCGGTGTAACGAGCCCCTGACTCTGCTAAATCTCCAATGTCTTTCAGCAAAACATCCAGCGCTGGAATGTCTGGACATAACTCCTGCACTTCGTTAGGAAGGCCAAGGACTTTGACACAGGACAAGACATTTTAAAATGATTCAGATATAGTGTTTTGGAAGACAGTAAATATGTATCTATACATATATTTTGAACTCACTGGCTCGCTCTCTTGGTGTTTTTGTGGTGTACACAGAAAAGGCATTGAATTCATTTAGATGGGGCTCTAAGTAGGCCACTGGCATAGCTGCTGCAAGGTGAGCCAGACATTCTCCAAGTGCTGGCCTCTGCCTGTTCACATAAAAAAATGAATGTAAGAAACACTCACCAGTGTCTATTTTTTATGATTTTGCAGCTATGTTTGCAAAAAGATACCTCTCAACATGCGGGTTCTTGACGGTGCCTACAGAGTAGATACTACACATGATGCGATAGCATGAGATCTGTAGATCATCCACTGTGTGCAACCATAAACAGATACAGCAGAATCTGGCTGAGCAATAAAGTGACATCATCAAAAAAAATTAAATAAATTGAGGAAGCACTTACAAATGACATCATCTCCAAAGAGGTGCTGAGCGATGTGATCAAACAGGGAAGTGAGCACTGGAAGCAGAGCGATAGTTGTGTAGTTGATGTTCTGGGAAACGCCTTTCACTTGCTTGAAAGGACAAAAGCAGCACATAGTTATGGGCTTAGATAGAAAATATACAGTTTGATTAAAACATTTAGAAACAGCATAATGCAAAAGGAGCTTTTCCAGAAAAACACATACCTGATTGCCCTTGGATACTTTGCCCAGTTTGAGATTCTCCACCATCTTCTCTACATCATCAGCAGCACTCTCAAAGAATGACCGCAGACCTGCTTTGACAATCTCAGGCCCTGACTTCATTACTGTCCTATAAAAAGTTAAACAGTACCACATAATGCACATAAACGGCCAGTCGACAAACTATTATACAGCCATACAGAAATCTATAGCAATAGCCCAGAAAACAAAAACCTTGTATAACATTTAGCCTTGATTTGTGACCAACTTGGATGATGAAAGGATGTGATAGAAATTTGTATCAAGTTTTGTTAAACTATCTTGAGGATATGAGAAGTTGTGGTCCAGAAAAGCAAAGACCTTGTTTCAATTTTGGCATTGATTTGTGACCTTGATCTTGGTGCTGGGGTGATGAACAGCATACGCAACACTCTGTCCAGTGATGATGCATATGTGTATCAAGTTTCATTAAATTATATTGAGCTGATCAGAAGTTGTGTTCCAAGACAAGAGAAAGTTTACAGACAGATGGAGACTACACCACAATACATTTGTATAAAAAGACATAAAATAAATCTACCGTATACATTTACACATATATAGAAAAAATATATAGTATACATCATACAATAAAGGAAATATATTGAATGCAATGAAGTGCTATACCTTGCATCAAGGGATCGTGCCAGAATGTGAAGGCAGTTGACGATAGCTGAAGCATCCGTTCCTGCACAAACAGCCTCAATGACATCAGTGTCACAGAATCAAAACCATCACAAACAATAAAAGATGTTTGGTATGGACTGAATGATTCCTGAGCTACCAAGGTTAGAGGAAGTAAATGTTATCAAGATAATAAGGAAACAAAGAACACAGTAGTCCTGATGAGAAGCTGGCTTCTTACCAAAGAGAGAAACTCTGTGCCTCACCAGAGCAGACATTTTACAGAAGATACTACGATGAGCAAGAAAACAAGGAAAAGGAAAGTAAAGGGAACAAAAGAGGGAAACGGATAAAGCTGTGAACATGAGTTATGAAAACACTAAAGAGCAAAAGGCAACTGTGCAAGAAAGAACTCACCTTGCAATCATCTCCTTCTCCTTATTTGAGGAATGTCCACCACTGCCCAGAACTTTAGCCGGTGTCGATAAGAAGTAGAGGCAGTGGTTTTTGAAATACTGATTGATTAAAGGCATCAAGATCTACCAGAGAGATGGTTTCCAGACTTAGTACAGCAGTGATTTTGAGTCTGGTCTTCAAAATTGTTACCCAAGCTTTACACCATAGCTTTACCTTTGCAAAAAATTTGATTTCCTGCTCATGAGGAGACTTCTCCACTCGTCCACTGCTCACCACAGCCTCTGCAAAAACAGGTAGCAGAAAATGAGAGTATCACATTACCACAGACTTCACACCAACACAGATCTATAAGATGTTACACTCTCCTTTTATTGAGCTACAGTACCGAGATGGGCGATGAATTCTTGGGCAATTTCCATCCATTTCAGCAGCTTTTGCAGAAAACCATAAGCAAATCTCTTTTCAATGGACGATATCTCAGACTCCATGTCCTTCATGCCCCTGAAGACAACAGAGTTGAAATTTTAACATTTTCTTGAATTAAAATGAAACGTTTTACAGGTACATATTAAACACACTAAACAGAACATCAAAAAGAATGCAGCATCAAGCACATTATACACCCGTGTACAAACTATTAAACAACAATCTATAGCAACGACCTTGTGTAACCTTTGACTTTGATTTATGGCATTGATCTTAGAGTTAGCGTGATTAAAAAAACATTATGTGGCACTGTCTAGTAATGATGCATATGAAGGTTTGTTAAATTATCTTGAGTGGATCACAGGTTATGGTTAGGACAAGCAAAGACCTTGTTTTAACTTTATTTGTGACCTTGACCTTGAAGCAGGCGATGAAAAGGTATGCAACACTGCCTATAAATATTGATACATTAAGTTTGATCTACAATCACAAAAAGGCAACAGGCGGTGCTCCAATGTCCCCAGTCGTGTGTTGAAGTATTTGAATTGTGAATGTTTGTAGTTTTGGAGATTAGTGTTTTTTCTGGTCAGCACTTGGAACAGAGAATGCAAATAAACCTTAATGTTTTTGGAATGAGATAGTCAAGAGTGTAGTACTGAGAAGAAGAGAGGTGTATATTTTTGTTATTCAAGGTGGCACCGAGAGATGGATCCTGGAAAGTGGAGGAAGCTAATTTTATCCACCACCAGATGCAAAGGTGGAGTCAGAGGGTGGCCAATGGTGGCCCTGGCCCCCATAGATTAATCTTCAGCCACCCCGATCATTTGTAGAAACTATACTTTTAAGTTGTATAAAAACTAAAAAGTATAGTTTCCTCACATGATTGGGGTGGTCAGTTGATGTTGGCCATCCTGAATTTTGATAGGGCCACTCAGTTTTTGATAGACATCTCTTACACCTAGATGCAGCCACACACAAAAAAAATTGGCCCCCAACATTTTTCAAGTTATCCCGTTCACAAAGTTTTCATGTAGATATAATGGCAGACATCTTGGGGTTGGTTTTTATTTTTGGGGCATTTTCCAAATGAACCGTTTTGGGGTTTTTTTGCTAGATGCAGCCAAACACCAAAATGGAAATTGGTACCTCACATATTTTTCAAGTTATCATGTGCACAACATGCACAGATGAACAAACAAACAGAGGGAATTTCAAGTCGCCCCTTTTTGCTCTGTGACGCGGGACAACAAACAGGTTCATTAAACCTTCTTCCACTTCAAATGACTGGAAAATTTTGCGAGTTTTGTTTTAAATAAAGCATTGTAACAAATAATTGGCTTTTGGTCCATAAGTACCACTTTGTACCTGTAACAAGTCTTTCTGGCAAGCTCTAGTCATGTTTCATTTATTTAAATAAGCAGAAAATTTAAAGATATGTGCAAACGCTACAAAATGTATATATTTGATATAAATGCTTGCTACTTAAGTAGAAATATATGTAAAAATATAAAATATATAAAAATATATAAATAATAATATAAATATATAATAATAATTATAATTATTAATTATTATAATTATTATAAATAAAATATATAATATAATATAAAATAAAATATATGAATAAAATATAAATAAAATAAAATATGAATAAATTATAGAATCAGAACAAGCGTTATTATCATTGCATCGAGATACAACGAGAACATGTACATGCAGTTGTTCGGAAGATAGACGGAGTGCACGAAGCTGCTGCTGTAAGCACGGCCGCTCTGATCCTTTTTCAGAATAATAATCTTAGAAATAAAAGAAAATATATAAAATCAAAATAAAAAATGAATAAAATATAAAATATAATATATAATAAATGTAAAAATATCTGCACAGATAAATGCAATTTCCACCTCTGTATAAGATGTATTTTTGTGTTATTACCTTGTAACAGCATATCCATTAAGCTGCAGGAACTTGAGCAACTCGTAGGCCTTTTCTCTGTCTCGTGCCTTCTCTTTTGCTGTCAAAGTATCGTAGGGCACCAGCAAAGGGTGGGTTCCTCCTCCTACACAGAATAAACCCAAACTGCTGTGAAAAGCCAAATCAGACTATTACTTTTTCTCCTCTTAAAAAAAGTCTCACCTTTAGCTTGGAGCTCTAACTTTTTCTTACGTCCCCAGGTGTTGTGGTAATTTTCTGCCAACTGTTCTGCCATTGACTGAATAGATCAAACTGTGAGCATTTGAGTTTAGAATTTTAGCCGAGAAAATTAAACATTCACTATACCTGCAGATCTCTTGACAGAGCCATGTGTGAGATATCAATAGGTTGTGGACTGTAGCCATGACTCGGATCATAAGTTGCCTAAAGCAGAAAGATTGTTACCTTTTGCACAACTAATAACTCAGCTTTAACAACTGTACATGGTAAATATCAGTGACACTACCCGAGTGATACCTGAGCAGTCTGAGAAATCTTTCTAGAAGCTGCCTTCTTCTTCTCTGACTCCTCTTCCTCTCTGGCTTTCTCTATGTTCCATTCCCAGGCCAGCATGGCTTTGATGGACTCTTTGATCGGCCAACGGTAGATCTCTTTGTCCTTAAAGAGAAGCCAGTGTTGAATGAATCAAGAGACGTGATAAAAGCATTCAACACACAGTTTGTCTGTGAGCTTACCTTTTCTGAGAAGGTTTTATATGGTCTGAGCATTGGATGGGTTTTCGCATTCTCATCCAGCACCTCACCATAAGACCAGTTGTTCTGAATCTGAAATGTGCATTATGTCTTTCATTCACAAGCATAGTTCTCTCAGTAAGTCTGTGTCATTTTAAAGTTATAATTCAGTAATTTTGCAACCCAAAAGAAGAAGCAGAACACCCATGTCCCCCTTGCTGAAGGGATTTGAATAGTGAATGTTTGTAGTTTTCAAGCTAAGTGTTTTTCTGTATGAGAATTGAACAGGGAATGAAGTAAACCTTAGTATTTTTGGTGGATGATATCGAATGGATAGGAGTTACACTGTGAAGAAGTGGTTTGTTTGTTTTTTTGTTCTTTGTCTGAGGCAGTACAGAATGACGCATCCTGACAAGCAGTTGGAACAATTTTGTCCATGACTGGGAGCAATGGAGGAGCCAGGGGGAGCCAGTGGTGGCCTTGGTCACAATAGATTAATCTTCAGCCACCCCAATCATTTGAGGAAACTATACTATTAGTCAATATAAAAACTATAAAGCATAGTTTTCTCAAATGATTGGAATGGCCGGTTTAAACACACAAACACGTTCACACACACACACGATGGTGCTGACAGTCATATATATGTATGACGTGGCAGCCATCTTGGATTTTTGGCGTGGATAGTGTCTGCCTAGATGTACAGGAACTAGACGTACAGAAACAGGAACATGTCTGGCAAGAACCAATGCAGACATGGTCCTGTTTTTAGTTTTCTATATTTGCCTTATAATCTAGCTATTTTTGCTACTTTTTTGCCATCTTATTTTAATTTGTAAAAAAAATAAAAAAAATAAATTGTATGCCTCTTTTATGATTGTCTATTGTTGTTGTTGTCCACTGTTGTCATCATTCTATGTTGAAATCAGGTGTCTCTTGTAAATGAGTCCTCGAGGCTCAATGGGATTAACCTGTTTAAATAAAGGTTGAATGAATGAATGTAGCCACAAACTAAAATGGAAGTTGATACGTAACTTATTTTTCGTTATCGTGCTCACAACATGCATAGCTGGACAGACGGATGGAGAGCATTTCTAATTCCCCCTTTTCGCTTCATGACAGGGAACCAAGTAAACCAACTCAACATTGTGCTCCCGATTAAGCAGAAAGTCAATAGTATTTATTCGTAAGGTTTTTTTTAACAATGTCCTACCTTTTCAAAGGCCCATTTATCATGTGTATATTCAGCAAATCTGTTGATAAAAGGATCCAGTCTCTCTGGGATAATGGTGCTATTGTTGGAAAAAAGAAAAAAAAAAAAAAAGTTTTAAATTTTAAACAGTAGAGTGCTCCATCTCTTAAAAGACATTAAAGAAAATAAGTTTTTACTTTGTGGTGTCTATTGGTTTAGGATCAAAGTTTCCCTCTGCATCTACTGAAGCCTTTTTCTCTGTTTTCGAGGAGTAGCTGGCATCTACGTAATCTGGAGGAATGGCTCCAGCAATGGCACAGAGGCACGGCATTGAAATTTTAAAAATTTCAGCGTCAAATTTCTGAAACCAACAAAAAAATAAATAAAATAAAATAAACATGCTCCCAGATCACTTGTTCCTTTTTAAATATATCGTGTTTCAGCGTCCACCTTGTGCGCTAGTGATTCAAAAATCCCCCAGAAAAGTTTGCGGGTCAAATGAAGTTCCTCTTCTGAGGCAACTCCAAAGTTTGCCCAACCATTTGGAAGACAATAATATTTCCAACAACGTTCGTAGTGACTGGTCAAAAGCTGCAGGGTGAAAAACCATTAACATTGAAAAACAAAAAAAGGGATAAGTGCTGAAATGTAAAGGAAATATGAATTTAATCAATGTCTTCCAACCTTCAATGGCCTTTTTGCATATTCATTGAGAATAGGGACGTCAAACACCAGCCGTCTTAACAAGTGCTGAAGCATGGAGGGACGTAGATATCTGAAAGAATAAAACAAGCAATGCTCAGGTCAGTTACTAATCTGGGCTGTTGGGTAAAAGGAGAAGATTGATACAATGTTAATCTCACTTGCACAAAGCCATGAGGCACTCTTCAATAATGTCTCTCTGAGCCTTTGTGAAGGCTCGTCCTCGGGACAGTCTGTAGATTGTGTGCAACATGGAGTCGATCATTATGGCTCGGTGGTCACTGCCAGCAAAGAGTGGCGCGCACTTGGTGATGAGTGGCAGCACAGCAGAACACAAGTAGCGGTTCAACGCCAAAGCCATTTCTGTGGTGCTGAAAGCCGCCTGTTGGAAACAGAGTTACTGTAAACGTTGCATTTGCTGAAACTGTGCAAACGATTGTGACTCACTGTGTCCAGAGAAGCAGCAGCTCTCATGTCTGGCAAAAAGCCCACCTCCAGGACGTGGAGCAGGAAATCTTGGTTGTCAATACCATAAACTCTGTCAAGGAACAGCACCATCGGAGCCTTGTGATCTGGAACAAAACTGGCAGACATCTTGGGCTCTATGATGCTGTTGTCTGAACGCAACATCAAGAAGACACAAAATAACAGATAAGCAACAAAACCAGAAACACACAGTTCTGCATCATGGTGTTAAACATTTTAAAATGTTTTTCTTCATTTGTTTACCTTTCCCAAAACAAGGAATCTGAACAGGAAGACTGACGACTCCCACCAGGTCCTCAATAGGAACCAGAGACCTCAGGATCGCCCTGATCCTCAGAGCCTCACCCTTACCAGCTTGGATCAACTAAAGAGACAAAAATAATTTTTTCTCCAACTAAACCTAATCTGTTCAATAAATTTAAGAGGATCGGTGTGTTATTTTTGTTTTGTGATCCTTGTGTCTTCCTGCTCTCCCGTGTTCTCCCTCATGTTGCCAGCTCTTGTCACACCTGTCCTCTATCCCAACCATCCCAGGTGTTCATCACTGTCTCTCATCAGTGTCTATATATTCTGTGTCTGTGTGTCTTCTCAGTTGTTCATGGATTGTCCTCTCAAGGCGTCGTGCTCTGTTTCCCTCCGTGTCTCCTGTCTCCCTGTTAATGCCCCATGTAAGTTTTGCTGCCACGCCAGCCCTTTTGTTTGTTTAATGAATAAATATTCTTTATTTTATACATGAGTTCCTCGCGCCTGTCTGCATTTTGGGTTCAAAACCTCACTGGATCATGATCAATGTAATTTGAAAGTAATTTGTGCAAACAGCTTACGTGCATCTCTGGAGCACAACGTCCCAGCAGATCGATCAGAGCGGAATAAAAGGACATGATGGCATTTCCCAGGTGCACCCTGGTCTCCTCGTGCTGCTCCTCTCCTCCAAACCTGACAGCAAAAACAGATTTTAAGTCATAATTCTGCAGCAATCTACTGTGGCGCTGGTTGATCTCAGACTATAATTAGTCTTTGTTTGATTCAGTTTCAGTTACACCCTGAAATAAATTACTTTAGTATTTAAATCACTGACCGGTACAAAAGTAACGCTTCTTTGGCCTGAATGTCAAGTGTCTTGAAACACCTATCTGTTGGAAGTTTCTCTCATGAGTACCAGACAACAACTGATTTTGGCTTTGATGGGCACATCAAAAAAATAAATAAACCTTTGGTTGTTGTACACAAAGTTTTCATTAGCCCTCTCGTTTTTTTATTTCCTCTTTTTCCGATTAGACTCCTGTAATAAATTAAGTACATTTATCTCTACAATCTTTTAACGCATGGACGCTGCCAATAAAGTAAAGCTCAGAGTTATTCTATTGAATTGTTGTCAAATCTTGAGATTTCTAAAATGTGCTTCCAGTAAGAAATGGCTTCGTTTAGCCTCTCTACCATAAGTGTAGTCTGAATGTTACTGAATCATTCTCATCATTCAGATTTGTTTTTCTTCCGTGTGTTTTTCAGCTCGTAATTCGTTCCTCAATTTTTGTTCTATTTCAACCATGCTTGTATCACAACGTTCAGCTCATTCAGGACATTCCTGCTGTGACTTCTGGTATTTGTGCAATTTTTACTTTTTGAAATATTTAGCTTTGTCGGCCATGTTTTTCTCAATGAAAATAAATGGAGCTCTCTTCACATCTCTCTACACTATTTTGTTCCTTGTTCAGCTTCTTTCTGCTAAGTTCATCATTTGATGCTCCTTTCAGCTTCTTTCTCCATTTTTTTTTTAGCTTTCACACTTTTTAGGTAATTTTCTGCTAAGTTCAGCCTTTTTTTCCAGTTTTTTTTTGGCTCATCTCCACCTTTTGTTTCTCTGTAATTAATAAATATATTTACTGTATGCTCCCTTCAGCCTCTTTCTACTAATTTCAGCCTTTTTTTTTTTTTAGCTTTTTTGTCTACTCTATAATTATTTCAGATTTCTTCTACTCATTTCAGTTTCTTTCAGAATCAGAATAAACTTCAGAATAAACTTTATTGGAATTGCACCGAGGTACAATGTGAATATGTACGTACAGTCGTCCGAAAGATGGGCGGTGTTGGATAAAATGTAAATGTTATCATTTAAAACTGTTTTTTGACCCCGCATCATTTAATTAAACTCCAGTCGTGTGAACTAAAGAATAGCCATTTGTCTTGTTCACGTGCAGTCAGACCAAGACCTTGGGTTTTTTAAACAACCATGATGTTATTCAGATCTGACCTCGCTATTCCGGCTATCCTGTTTTGTAATCAAGCTGTCTGTTTAGTAATCTTTTCTGGCTCCGCTGCGTCGGAGAAAATCTGTATCTGTTGATTTTGCCTGATGCTCACTCCTCCTGCCTCACAATAAAACACGAGCTCTCCCGTCGAACGGCGGACTTCACCTTGACGTTTGGTCAGGTTACGAACTCCCCCCTCT